TATTATTATTATTATTTAGTATTATTATATATAATAAAACAAAAAAAAATAATTCAATTTGGTAGATGGCAGTCAGTGCATGTTGAAAATTTTAACAATCCCATGATTATTTTCATAAGCGTGTGATTTGTTGTATCCTTTTATTGGCTATAAATAGTCAATGAAATCAAGACAGAGGATGGAGAGAGAGAAAAAGTAAGAATTGTGAATTCTGAATTGCACGGTATTTTGTGTTACTATTTAAGTACTATTCATTTTTCTTATACTTTTTCTGCACCCTAGTAAGATATTAAATTTTCTTTAAACAAATTGAAAAATACCAAAAATATCTCAACCGTTAGATCTAATAGTGTTTAAATCTGAACCTTTGATTTCTTAGGATACAATAGGCTTTACCACACCAGATTAAAACCCAAATCAATCTCAGCCTTTAAAATAATCTGCCCTTCGATCCTGTTGCGCCACGTCAGCAGGTGTACCAAGCACTCGGTACACCGCGACACACCAGATCTTAGCCCATTCAATCCTAACTGTCTGATCAACTTGAAGATCAAACCAATCACAGCCGCACGATCTGTTCATCCGAGATCCAACGGTGCCCAGGCTTCAGACGCACGAGTGCACCATACACTCGTCCACACCGTAGCAACACCCAGAGCTTCTCTCTCCTCTCGCCGGTGATTTTCTCTCTCTCCGTCGATCTCCAATTTCCGACCATTTCAAGCCAAAAAACCACCACAGAAATGTGCATAGACTTCTCTGAAACAAAACCTCGGTCGTTTTACACTTTTTCACCTGCGATTTTGGCCGTAAAACGGCTGCGACCTTCATCGGCCAATCGACCTTCAAGTCGTCGATTCTCCCTCCTCAAACATCAACGGCCAACGCGACGACTACCATCAGAATCCTCGTCCTCAGATGTACTAGAAACAACCATCGTTTGGTCGGAATCGCACCGGAAAAATTCGCCGCTGTCAACAATAACCGCGCATGAGCCACACGCGCCGCTAGTGGTATTTTCATAAATGTTTGATAAATCCGAGGGTATTTTAGTCTTTTGCCTATACAGGGGTACTTAGGTAATTTTCTATGATATTTTTTGATATTTTTATATATAAATACTTGTAAATTTTTGCATGAAAAAAAAACAAAAATAAACCAAAATAAATAACGACGCGGGTTCAACACCCATTTTATCATATCA